ACGGACACTAAAATGCATACAAGTACGTATGCAGGCTCTGTGTGTGTTTTTAACCCTTCTATTAAGTTGTGCGTACACGACAAACATATCTACATATCCATTGACTTCAGTGGGGAGTTAGGGCACCCAGCCATCCTGAAAAATCTGGTGCACGGTGAAAGAGGCAAAACAAGCCAGTCGAAAGGTGTTACTACAGCAAGCACAGCTTGGAGTAACACTGCCTTGTGAACACAGGGATTTGCTTGTGAGGCATTACACCTCTTTCAAATGAGTGCAATCATCACTTGCTTACTGCTACCTGCGTGTAAAGCTACTGCTGGCTGAGTAACATAAAGCTGTTTTCCTCTTGATAACTCACAAGATCTTGTGCTATCACTAACAGATGAACTGAAAGTGAAGGTTAAATTAAGAGCAATCTTGTATTAGGCTGTATACAAGAAAAAGCACAGATGACATTAATCTTAGTATTCATCAAGTGACAAGGTAATTTAGCACCGTAAAGATTTTTTGTTTATTTTTTCTGCTGTTTTTGACAAAACAGGCAGCCTGGATTGATCAGAGGTTCTTTTCTATATTACTGTTAATGAATTTAAACTTTTAGAGTTGGAGAACATTTTCTGTAACATACTACACCACAGAAAGTTCAAATGCAGTGTGAAATACACAACTGTAAAACTAAACACTACTGTTTATTTGAATTGTTAAGTCAAACAACCTCAAATCCATGTGTTCTTCCAGACTGTTTAACATTATGTATCCCTTCTTATAATGCACATTTATATTCACAATATTAATGCCCCAGAATTTTCATTTTACAGCCTGTGGAAATGGCTTGAAGGGAAAAATAACCAAATGTAATGTGCTGTCCCTGAATTATGTTAAAAATTGAAAAGCAATTTTCACAAAGGATAGTGAATGTTAACAATTTTATTGATATCAACAACAACAGGAACCAACTTCTAACATTGCATGACTTAACAATTGCACTGCAGAACGGTGCAGTTGAGGAGATACAAGTCTGACCATGTCAAAATAATGCCATTTCAGCTTTATGGTTAATGTTTTGTCAGTGTGTATATACTTTGTGCATAAGGTCCTATCCTTCCTACCTTGAAGTCAATCACGGTTTTGCCACCAACTTAAAATGGAGCAGAACTAAGCCCTCGTTTGTACGTGAGATCTCTTAAAATTGTGTAGGATTCCTAAGGGGAACTGCTCAGCAGGGAGAGATCGGTACAGCTCCATCGCCTTGAACAGAGCTGAAGCGAATCCCACAAGATGGACATCTTCACATCATATATTTTCCCCACATATTCATTTAAAGAAGCCACATATGTGACTTAACTGTGCATGGATTTCGTAGCCATTAATGTATGTATTTGTGTGTGCGTGTGTGCACAGACGTACACACACACAGACACATTCTGTGCTTCACATGTGAACTGTTTGTTGCAGAAAAGAAAAAGGAAAGAGATTAAAAATAATCCAGAAAGTTGCAGAAAGCATTAGGGAAATAAACACGTATTCAAAAAGCTCAAAGGGAAGCAAAGCATTCACAATCTATACAAAACTCTTTAGCTACATCATAATCACCTGACAGTAGGCACAAATAATGCAGCATACAGAGAACTATGAGAGGTTCAGACACTATAAAGTTACTTGAGCTATTCTGTTATTTAATGAAGCTGATGAAATTTAGGGACAAACTAAAACCCGTGCTGTTGCGAGTAGAACTACAGCATCATGAAACACAATTTCGGTTTCACCAATAAACTGAAACTTTCTGGTCTCGCTCAAAAGAAACATTTCATTTCTGCTCATGTATAATGGGAATTACATTCCACACAAAAGGGATCTCAAAGTCTATAAACAGTGTACCTTTTCAATCTCTAAGGGACTTTCATTCCTTAAATGAAATATTAATGATACATATTGCCCCTGAATTGCCCCTTAATACAAGTCATATGTTGAAATGATTAAATGTTATAGGCTAGCATATTCTTTGCAACAGCGTTGATGGAAAACTCGCTATGATAACGATTACTGATTTTTCCATTTTTCTTTTCCACAGCTAGGCAAAGCCACACCATGCCTGTTTGCTGGCAAGCTGGGCTCTCTGTGCAGAGCAAACATTCTTAATAAACTGCCTTAAGCAGCAGTAGTCTATAAAGAAGAGGGGAGGAAAAATAAAATTCCTGGAATTTATTTTCTTTACACGAAAAAGCAATTTGCAAAAAGTCAGTACGTGTTTTGTTCAGTCTGGTGGAGTTCTCTGAATTTTTGGAAGCTGATCCCAATGCACCTTAACATAATACAGGTTTCTTGGGATTAAGTAATACATTTTACTAAGACATTCCCTCCTAACAGGCAAAAATGCAAGAAACTTCACAGCTGTGCACTTTTTCAGTAGAACAGGACAGCCCTGTGAGTACGTGAGGGGGACTGCTCCTATTGCTGGAAGCAGTTTTAAATCCGAAGTCTGAAGCAGGAATGGCAAAACATGCATTTCAAACTGAAATGACCTAACTGCTTCAGCAAACCTGCCAGATGAGTGACTTTCCCTCCAGGTGATACTGGAACCGAGTATGGAAAACAGAGAAGGTAAGTTTTGTATTCTGCTGCCCATTTATTTGTTTTTGTAAATATCCTCCATAAAGAAAACAATAATGATACAGCGAAGCCTTTATGTCACATGCCAACGTTTTTCAGCTGCTGAATTTTATTATGGACAAATCAGTGTGAAGAAATTATTTCACTGTATTTAAAAGTTGGCATGTGGCAGCTAACCATTTTATTCTATTAAGTAAATTTGCCTGCTTTCAAAATATATTAAATCATCACTAAGTAGATCAAAAATATAATCTCTATAGATTTTTGCTGAGGATCAGAATCACACTAATTTCTAATTCTTAAACTATTAGTATTTAAGATACTGAAAAGAAGTGTATGAAACAGGAACAGTGTGCCATCACTACACTATGGGCTTAAATACAACAGATAAATATTAAAGGAATATGCAACATACAATAGGAAATATTGCTATTATGTAAATTAATGTAGTCAACTAAAATTCTCACAATAAAGCAGCAGAAAACAAATAAAATTAGTAGATATTTGTTAAGCAACTGGTTATAATGCATGACCTACTTTAACACTAAAGGAGTTTTGCATATTCATGCTGTACAAAACGACCACCTCTAGAAATTATGAAAGCAGAGAAATTAGGTCAGTAGGAGGATGATTTACAACACCGCCATTTCTGTGTGCTTTCATTTTAAAATGGCATCAACTGCCTTATTACAGCAAGCCAACAAAAAAATGTTCTTGTCCTTAACATAAGTGCAAATAATCACAGGTTTCTCAGGCAAAATGTGTTTTACCAAAGGTGTCATCATACGTGTGTCAGATTACACTGGTAGCCAGCAGGCCCACCTATTTCCTCTTTTAGAAATGTGTCCGTATTTACTTGCAACACCTGGATGATCAGTATTTACAGCTCTTGCAAGGTAAAACATTCATGTTGCCTGTGACCACTCGTCTGTTTACACTCACCAGAATGTAAGAAGAGAACTTTAACTTTGCTTTGAAAGCATTTCCTTTCTGTTCTGCGACCACACAAGATTTCTTCTTTTTCCTTTCACTTAGCTAAAAAGACCAAACTCTGAAAGGAACGAGAGGAGAGCGCTCCAAATGTTTGTGTTGGGATCAGACAGCGTGGTACAAGCAGTTTAATATGGCAGGTTTTTTCTTTCCTGCATTTTACCTATTCATTGGTAAAAGCAAAGCATTCATTAACTGTTCGTATCAAAATGAATAAAGATACCTATGTTAAAAACAGAACATATAATCAGTACCTCAGATGATAAAAAGAGTGCTATTCATAAATGTGCCCACTATGGATTTGTGCGTTATATTCACCTTATTCAATCTCCATTGCTTTAAGTGTGCACAATGCTGTTTTGTACTTGATGGGCATATTCAATGGCTCATTCATTACAAATTCTTGCATTAAAATGCAGTGGTAAAGCCAAAAATACCCCCGCACACTAGAATTAATTTGGCCCCGTGTTTTTAATATTAAATATGCAAAACTCTTTTGTGTGATTCACTATTACTGTAAATTAGCAGCTATTCTCTTTAAAAATGTTAAACCTTCACCAAATCACAAACCATAAACATTGTTCCATTTTCTCTTTTACACTGAGTCTCCTACTGAATCCAAATCATCCGAGGAGAGTGGGCGATACAGGTCCTGTAAGATGAAGTGCAGTATAGATTTGTTTATTGTGGTCGGTTTCTTGCACTGCTACTGTCTAACAATCTTTTTGTTACTGTGGACCAGAAGATGTCGTTTAACATAAAATACACATATACCATATAATCAGATTTTTGCTTATTTTCATACAATTATTTTTAATCAACAAATAGATCACTGTAAATAAATCTGGAGTTTCAATGTACAAGATATTCTAAGAGGCAGTGAGTTTTTCCTTTGATTCTTTCCTGTTAAACATTATTAAACAATCTCTGGCTTTTCGAGAGTCTCCTAATTGTTTGGAGGCTTGGCAATATGAATTTAATCTCTTTTTTTCCAAAATAGGATATATTTCCCCTTTTTACTGTTTTGTTGCCAGCAGTAGGAAAGCAAATGCTTACCTTACATTGCAAGGTAATCAAAATTTGCCACCCATTGGCCATATACCACGGATCCAGCAGCATTTGAGCCCTGAATGCTGACAGTGAACACTGCCATTACCTGTAGTGCACTGACAATAGTATCTTTTTTCCACTTTTGGGGGCTTGTGTGTGTAAAGCAGCATGTAAAATCCCCCAGTCCTGGCTCTTTCTGATGGTAGCCAAGCAACCAGCTCATGACAGCAGAGAGAGCAAGTCTGAGTGTACGGATCCACTTCAGTTTTCAACACCCACTCTGAGCATCCTCTGAGTGATCAGATAATCCTCAAATACTGGAGGTGCTAGGGGATGAGACACTGCCCTAGTCAACCTACACAGCACAACAACCTCCTCCAAGGCACACGGCAGCACAGAATGAAAGAAAGTTCAACGAGGAGAAGCGGTTTGGGCTAGAGTACTATCTTTTTAGGGTGAATTCAGCACACCTGATGGTGCAGAGAGGTGCTGAGCAGTCACATGGCTTGCAGCTCTCTGCCTCCCCAGCACCTCACAGCCAAGCTCTGCTACCTTTCAGCTGTTTCTGGGCATCCGTTAAGTACAGAACATGTTTACAGAGTACAGCAAAACAAGTTCAAGACAAAACATTGGCAAGATCTGAAAAATACAAGAACAGGTAAGAAGGGGAAGGCTGATGGAGCCAGCTTTAGGGTTTTTCTTCATTCATCACTGGAAGGTAACTTTAAAAAAAATCCCAAAGCTATTTTATAGAACAAGGACTACCTAAAATGAATCCTTTACAAATTTCAAATTCACAAGGCTCTACATGATCTATAAAGGTTTCTGTTTTACTTGTAGGCAAAGGAAAAATAAAAGGGATGTTAATTCCCTGGGACGTATTTTAGTTCCTTGGAATCCTTATTTTACATGGGCACGTGTACATACAGTAAGCCATGGTACACGCTTTTGAAAATCAAGTCCTAAACAAATTTCTCTTTTGTTGTGAACAATCTGGACGAAACAAGAACTTCAAACAGAGAAGCCCATTCCGTTTTGAATACAAAGTAGTTAAGTGCTAAAATTTCTTTTGTGCACATACAGTTTTGGAGTTTCTAATATATAGTACCAAAAAAAAATTATCTGAGGTTAACAAAACAAACTTTTGAATTGCACGTTCCAGGAAATTGCTTAGTCTTCTGAATATATTAAAAATAGATCTGTAGGACTGCCTTTTAGTATTTGGGGAATATGCCTGTTTTAAAGAAGAATCATGCACAAGATTTCAGGATCTTATTCTCTGCCCTTTCATATAGCTTTAAATACTTGGAAGATATTTTTATCTGCAATAACTTCCCTTGCCTGTACTTTGCTGAAGAGCTGTATATTTAAAAAAAAAAAAAAAACAAAAAACCGAGGAGAATCTATTATTTTGCATATATTAATAAAAAGACAAAACCTGTTGAATGAGTACAGCCTTCTTGGACACATACAACTCAAAAAATCCTTATATACCCAGAATACAACTTCTCTGTCTGATTAGGCAAGAAGTGCCTTAAGTCTAATTTTTTATCATCCAGTAGGTTCTAGAAAAAAATCCTTATAATAATGGGAAGCAACTGAAAAATCAGATATGAAGTATAAAACATTTCCACTCCAGCTGAAGTACCGACACTGATTACAAGAGAGTGGAAAACCTAAGTTCATAAACTATTACAAAGGCTAATTAAATAACATGTGGGAGATGCTCTGATGTGTATTTATTACTACGATTGCCCTGTCATGTTTTCCGAGTCCTTATCATTAACCTAACTCTGTTGTGGCAGGAACTGTGAGCATGTGCAGCATGGTAACTGATTCTACTCAGCTGCTGTAAGCCTGAATTTCAGATGGTTTCATTCTGCTCGGAAATACACAAGTAAGGACATATTTTTTTTTTTTTTAAAAAGAATCTTAATTCCTTATCAAAAATAATTAAGATATAAGAAAGCATAACTATACTACACAGGGTGCACGTTTAAATGCTCAGAAGCTGAAAACCAGAGAAGTTCAAATGATTCCTGTTTCAAGTCCTCGTATTACACCCACGACATTAATCTTTCAAATCCTGCCTTCCCCAAATATAGACTGAATTTCAACCAAGATTATATATATGACTTTCACTGACTTCTGAATTTATGGAAATAACTCAGCCATGTACATGTGCGAGAGAGAAAGGATGAAACTTTATCTTTTATGTCCTGGATTTGAGGGTCTAAAATTTTATTGGTGGGGTTGCAAGAGTACAGTTTTCATGATCGTAGTACATGTATCTCAGCAGCATTCTGGGTTTTATTTACAGGAATGGAAAGCCTTGTGTCAAAGGCCAGAATTTATTTTTTTAAAGGTTGAATGATGAAATGTCAGTAAGAGGAGTGATCCCTATTTTAAGTTGCCTAATGCATTCCATAATTAGAAGGAGTATTTTCTTTAGAAAAATTCTACCATCTGTACTATTTTTGCAGGTCTTTACTATTCACAGAGACGAATCCCTTAGCCTACAGCGTTACCTTGCTTTCATCCCTCTGAATTCAGAAGCATGATTTCCTTCCTCTCACCTGTATTTCCCAGGAAGAAACACTGGCAGCCTGCCCAGACCCCTGAGCAGATTTGGAAGTACCAAGCCTACAACTCCCTCAAAATACTTGGACGGGGCTGCTGAAGAGCTGATTAATCACTGACATCGAGGGGAATCAGGTTATATGCTAGAGCCCACATTCCCTGCAGTCTTCCAGACCCAGCACTACCAGTGGCACTCCAAGTGGCAGGAGAGCCCAGGCACCCTTCTGATTCAAACCACACGGAGAGAGGGGCAGAGAGAAAACAAACTACAAAGTCGAGCTGGCATTCCCATGACCCATCATCTTATTTCAGATGTCTCTTCTTTTGGGCAGGGGGCAGCAACACCTCACCTCTCAGCACTGGGGACAAGATGAGCAGCGAGACTAGTCTCCTCTTCAAAGCCTACCACATGATACCAACACTTTGATAACCTCCTAGGGAATAAATCTGCTCCTGCAGCTGGCTAGTCGGCCCTCTAGGTAAAGTGGCTCAAGACAAAGCACAATGCTCTGGGTTCAAATTTGGTTTCTGACAATATGGTACCTAATATAACCTGTCTTCTAAACAAAGTTTTATCACACAAAAGATGGCACTGAAACAGAACAAAATGTTATTTAGACTGCCAACACCACAATTTTAGATTAGTAAGCACTGTTTAATGCTTTTTCATGCAGCTGACTTAGTCATTGGAATACGTGTTATGACCTTTAACAACACAATCCTGTGTTTTGGTATTGGACTTTTAGCTCATTCACTTCACAAAGTAAACACGAAAGGAACATAAATTCTCAGAGCATGTGTAAAGTTTCCATCCCTTAACTTCTTAGAAGTAGTTTATCTAATGTATTTCGTAAACTAAATAATACTATACCAATGCATTTTCATGTAACTGTATTCCGTGTTTCTGCAGCTACAGTGGTTTTTTTTGTTTGTTTGGTCTAGAATAAAGTCAGAGAAGCACGAAAGGGCCCCTACCGAGGTCTGCGGGACTGAATGTGAATATCTAAGAAGAGAATTCAATTCTTACACAATTTATTCTCTCTCCTGTAATTTATTCCAATACTTATTCTCTACACACTTAGCAATGTAAGTATGTCACCACTACACAGCCCTGTGCACCCGTAATACTGATCCTGTTACACTTCCACACAGGGAGCCTGGACGAGATGAAGCCCATCTGCCTCACTCCTCACATTTTCACGTCAGAAACCTTGTGGACAAACACACCTTGTGTCTAATGGTGCTGACCACATGGTTCCCACTCAGCCATCCACAAATGTTAACAGCAAAACAGTTCTTCAATGTGGGAAGAGAAGCATCAGTGCTGGGGAAGGAAGCTTTGGGAAGTTACTAATGAAAGCAGACAGCCTTACAGCAGATGAAGATCTACTGTATACTGATATCATCCATCTTAACAGACACCCTCACTTCACCCATGTATAATTCATTTGGAACTTTCTTCCCTCTTCAGTAACATTAATGATTCAGTAACAAGCCTTGAGAATAAGAGCAAACAGGTGTGGAGGACACTGTGTTCAGGATTTCAGTACTTATCCAACTGAAATTTGCATCTTAACTCTCTGTGTACCCAACACGACTGGGGCAGTCGTGTACACACGACTGCCCCAGGGCTCCAAGCTGCCACTCCTGGCTACCTCTACACTGTAAGATCACCAAGTACTTCCAAGTCAGCTCCCAAATCTCTAAGCAATCTATAGTCCCAGCCTTGCATAAGACATGGGCACGCACAGTTCCTCAGCTCCCTCGTAGCCACGGGAGAGAAAGGAGGGTACACAGGCCAGAAGGAAGCTGTGCCATGCTCCAGCTATTTCTGGTCTGGGTACCTGGGGAATCAGGTCTGCACCAGCCCCTAAAGCCAAGCAGTGTCAGCACAGTATGTAATCCCTTGTTTAGGGAGACAGAAATCATCTTTATTTAAAAATTAAAAAGGCAGAAAAAGCCATGTGTTCAAACTCCGTTTATAAACAGAAGTGTGAGACAGAGCACTGCCTTGGGGAATCTTTCATTGAAAACTGATCACAGTTTAGGAAATAGCAGAAGAGAAGACACATAGACATCTGTCCCATTGCTTTTGAACAAATACGATTAATTAAATCAGCATGTGGAGCCTTTTGGGTTGAACGAGTAATATTCTGTTGGGGCATTACAGCAGTAGCATAGGTACTACCGTAATCCTGGATGCTTAGGTACACTGTAGATTCTCTATACATAATGCTAACAGGAACCTACAGCTGCTAACAACTTATCCAGGAAAGTGACTGACAAGTCTCGTGCTGCCTCATTAGGCTGTGTATCACACCTAATCCACAGCTAAATTTCACATATTGTTTTACCTTGCTTCAAAATCAAAGCTGTTTATAGGTTTTACAAGTGATAAACAACAACAAAGTCTCTGACAACATGAATATTTCCTTTCAGTTGCAAAATGTTTGGAAATAGACACTAGAAACAAAAGAAACTTTTGTAAAAATGGAGAAAGATAACCCCTACTTTCCCTCAAGGATAAACCCATTCCCATCATACTTCACATTTGGACAGACACAGAACTGTTGTTTCCCACTTAATAATGTTGCACAAACAAATCAAGGACCGTAGCCAGGTTCTTCCACCCTACATCTCTAAGCACAAGGTATCACTGGGGAGAAGGTTATCTGATTAATAGCTATGCTCGACTCTTCCCAGCCATACTCAGAAATCAGCTTCCTTATTTCCTTACCCTCTGTTTCCGTAGGCTTCCTGGGCTGGTGGGAGATGGGCTTGGAGACTTCCCAGAGCGGGGGGTGGAAAGTTGGCTACCAGGGGTTCCATTCACTAAAAGGACAACAAATTGAAAAAATAAATACAAGGCATTATTAAAAGCAAAGGAAGAGTTAAATCAAGGTATCCCATTCCTTCTCATTCTGTTTTGAACTTTTTTTTTCATGTTTTAAACATTAAATAGGTTAATTCATAAAAGAGCTGCTTCCTCAGAGTTTTGGCTCATGAAGCCAATTTTTATACAGAGTGCAAGCAAATAATCAATGAACCTGAAAAGACTGTTTACTCAATGATAGAAAACATGTTTTCTTAAACTGTATTGTTCCTGTGCTTGAAAGTGATGGAGAGCAAGGTGCTTTGTTAACCTTAACAGATATTTGCTATATTTAAACCTTTTTCATTCAATTTAGTTACAGCCTCAAGTGCTACCCACCAAGAATAAAAAGCAGTACTGCTTGCAAGAACAAATCAACTGTTTGCTGTTCCTCTCTCACTCCTTTGAAGAAATTTTTGCATTACCATCTGACCCAACCATCACCTCAGGCTTAACCCAGAAGGGCTTTCTAGGTCTAAATAAATTGGATACAACCTCTCAAGTCAGACTTACAGCAAAGCATCACTTTCTAAAATAAGTCAGTTCCTCCAGCTCTGGCAGTGCTTATAATTGTAAAGCATCTTTTGCATGCATGTGACATTATCCGTTTAATTAACAAAACAATTCCAGCAGAGGACAGAATTCTACTACAAAGTAATCACACAAGAGGCTATCAATAATGTTCTCACTGACAGAAACACTAAAAAGCGTGTATCACATATCTGTGTAAATATTCTTTAAGCAAGCCACGATTCTATCACAGTCCAAATCTATCAGCATCAGGAAAAACAGAATCTACAATCAGACTCCCCAATTCTGAATCTCTGGAGCATATTTACATAGCAGGATATCAACAAGGCATTTGACTTACCTTCTATGAGTTCTAACATGGACAAAATCTTACTGTTTAACCTGACAACAGCGAGCAGCAGAATTCCTGCTCTCTGCTAAGCCAAGCTGTAGCCAAGCTGAGAAGCAATGGGATTAGTTAAGGATAGCTAGGGCTGCTCACAGAGTGAGCTGAATGCGATGCAGGATTCATAAGCAGAAGCCTTTTCTGCGTAAGGCTGACGTCTTCAGAGCAGCAGTGGGAGGTGCAGGTGCTGTCTTAGGGCTACATCAAAGGTGTCAATTAAGCATAATGCTGCTGCTTCACAACGCTGAGCCACCGCAACCCCCACTCGCTTTCCACGGAGCCCCGAAAGCCTAAGCAATTTTATCTGCTGTGCACTGAATCATAACGAGGTGCCTTTGGGGGCAATATACCAAATGACTCATCTGGAAATCAAAATGACAATAACTCTTGTAAAACCTTGGCTGACTGGCAATCTAGCAAATGCTAATTCCTTTGGATAATACAGTAGGCATTTTTAATGGCTTTTCCTTACTTTTTACATAATACATTGTTCTCACTGCCTAATACTGGGCCTGCACATTACAAGAAAGAAGCATACCACACATCAATATATAAAATACATTATACTGAACGATAAATGATGACCCCTCAACAAAGATTAGTGATTAGCACCTCAAAATCATTTTGTGCAAGGTACTGTTTAAGATAGGGGTGCAGTGTTTTGTACAAGCACAGGAACAACTAGAAATGGTAATTGCGTTTCAATGGGATCCTTTTATAGAAAACCATTCCACTCATCTAGGCTACACATTCTCTTTGTACAGAGGACAATGGTTTGTATATAACAGCACTGATTCAAATGCTGTCCAAAGTGTGTGGGGGAGAGCACAAGCATATGGACACATTCACTGAAGGGCATCCAATACCAATATTCAGAAAAAAAAACAAAACAAAAAAAACCCACATAGGTCTGGCCAATTGTACGATCTATGACTAAACCCAAAGTCATTAGCAATACTTTCGCAAACAATTAGGAAAAGGGATACAGGAAGACATCAAAAATGAGCTTCTTGGGGTCTCAAAGCTTCTGAAGTTTTTCTTTATTTGTGTTTCTTTTAAACAAATTTGGTATGACTTACAAACTAATACTAAACTACTGCTATTCACATGGACCCTGACCTCAAGACTGCTACTGCATAGTAAGACTTGTGCTCTGTCTTCTCTTTAAACCAAGCAGATTTTCTTATTATTGTTAAAAAATTAAGCTAACAGGGACACTTTAATAAACTTTTTAGCACTAGGCACAGGTTCCTGTTCCTTCTGGATTGACTGCTTCTCTATAATTTCCAGGATTATTTTTTCTCAATTATTTTTTTTTCCAATTGCTACTGCAAATTTTTGTCCTGAACAGAGAAACTTGAGGGTACCAACTGAAAACAAACAAGTAGATGATATAGTGTCTTTGACTCATGTACCATGCTGATGAGCAGTTATTTTAGATGAAAACATGAAGTATTATAATCCCTAAAAATTACTCACTTGCCACTACTGGAGCATCCGGAGTGCTTAAGCTATGCTCCAATGTTCTCCCCAACAGCATTTATTTTTTTTAAACTGAAAATGATGATCGCTGTTTTGGTTGTGTTAGCTGTCTGAAATAAGTGAAATCAAGAGGAAAATAATGGACCAAGGCCTTCAGGATATTAGTTTGCTCACCTCCTTATCCATGTCCAGATACAAAAGCACAGAGTACCTTAAAAGCCTATCAGGGTTTTTGTGAGCATACAAGGACTTCCTAAAGAGAGCTGTTTAGGAAACTAGAGAGCTGACAACTAGCTCTGGGGATGAGATCCTTTTTACCAATCACTGGGTAAGTACAGTGTAGGCTTCTACATTTGAAGTAGTTTTCCAGCTCATTTTAACCAACTTGCTGTTGTAGAACAAGCTGTATCATCCTGAAGCAACTAAAACATCTGTTCGATAATGTGCTGGAAATGTCCACTGCGGTGTAGACTTCTAAAGTCAGGCAAGATAAATCCAAACCCACACATTTGGAGGATTGGTATATAGTTGACTCTAGGCAAAATTAACAAAATTCTCCTCCCCCTATCAATTTTGATGGATTTCATACCAAGCACAGGACTCCGCTAAACTCTGATGTCCTAAGGCTGTAAGAGGTCTACACTCGAGTCATCTGGAAAAAGGATTTGGGTGATGTGGGCTCTGCTCCCAGCTCTCTATACAATTCACCACAATATCCAACCTAACTCAAGTCATCCTGACCGTTCTACTTAGGCTTTACGTTCTGGCAGAATCAGCTCTCTCAGCACATCATGTTGTCTGTATTCTGGATGTTTTGCCTATGTAGGGATATGCATTTTTATTATTCCTAATTAATGTAATGCCTAAGACAGAGATCACAACTAGGAAGAAATGGATATTCCTAATAATTCCTCAATCTACTGCAGTAGTCCTCCTTTTTTATCTTCTCATTTACAGCTTTGCTGGCCATTCCACCTCCAACTCTAGTTTCTTACAAATCATTATATTAAATTTCAAATGGAGTTGATATTTGGTGCTGCGGAGCCGAAAAACACAGGACTGATTGTGATCACCTCCATCAACTCCACTTACAATCACGACACCATTCTTACACATTCACTTTATGACCAGATGACATGGCAACAAATATATGGACAAAATCTGTAATATTTTATAATAACGCATTTCAGATAAGTAAAGGAATATAGTCTAAACTGCTCCAAAATCCATTTCTGTGCATTCTGCTCTGAAAATTCATTCTTGTCCAGTATCTGCACTACATTTCTCACTAGCTGATACAGCTCATGTTCCTACAGGGAACCCTGATGTAGATAAAGATATATGAAATTGGTAAATCACTGTTGTGATTAATCATGTCACTGAGTGAGGCAAGAGCTTTCTTGTCACTTTTATTCATAAAATGGCAGGGGTCAGAGACATCAGCTTAACACACAGCGCCCTCCCATCGTCTCATGAAAAAGATTTATCTGTTCAAAAATTCACAGGTGAAATACATATTAAAAAGCTAGAACAGTAACAAATTATTGTGGCTATTCTGAAAACACGTATGCATGTGCTCAGCTGTTGTGAGCTCCTTTGCCTGCGGTCATCTCTCCTGAGCTTGGATGCATTAACAGGGCAGGAACCTGTCTTTTTTTTTTTTAACACCTGGCAAATGCATGAAGGTAGGAAAAAGCCCCCACAAAACAGAACACTAAAGCTGGATACCATTATCTACTGAGATAAATGAAAGATAGGTTTTCGTATGAAGATGTTTATAAACCAGTCAAAATGCTGTAAGTAGAAAGTACATTGATAGCATTCCAATAGGTAAGCCATTTTGATAGTGCACCTTTTTATTAAGTAATAAAAACAAGAAGTGAGAGGAGATGAATTAAAATATCAAATGCCAGTCTGAGAAGCTGCCGATGTCAGTGCCATTACATTAAAATCCTACTCTGCCATAAAGCTGCTTGCTGATGTGCTAGTATTTGTATCCTATAAAACATGTTGAGATGATGCTGCTTGTCTACAAAAGTGGTTTGCCAAACAGAAAAGTGTGCATGAAGAGGAAAGAGGAGACTAAGAGAAGTGCTGGTTGTTTTGCAACCACAATTTATTCATGACTAGGACATGCAACAGCTGAAACTAAAAAAAAAAAAAAAAAAAAAAGATTTACAGAAGTTACAACAACATGTGTAGGTCATATTAGCAACTGTTAGCTAGAAGATGGTGATGCCAGATAACCACCTGACCGTGTCTCAGTTACTCTTGTAGGCTGTCAATGTCCTTTTCAAAACAAAATTTTTGTTTCAAGATTATGTAATTTCTAAGTGTTTAGGGAACAAAATCCTGCCTTTTAATTCCTTCTCATTTTGCATTCTATTTGTATACATCTCATAATTTTTACCTTCGTTGCAAAGAGGAGAGTTTGTGCAGAGCACTGTGTTCCTTACTGGTCCTCAGTAAAGACAAGGCTTTGTCAAGGCTTTGTGTGCAACTGGTTGAGATAAATCCCAGGTAATCAGTACTGCATTGGTTACAGCTGGAGCTAAATTGTCC